CCCCGTTTTCCTCCTCCATACCTCTCTACTCCCATGTTGGCCTGCATGGGATGAGCTGAGCTGAGCTAAGCTTGGCATCATTAACATTCAGAAGAGAAAATTAATTAACACCAACATCATTAGCTCATGTAAACAAGACCTTAAGCACACACATCATGTATGTTGGAGTGTGTTTTAATAATGAAGGTGAGTGTAGTGAGAGTCCTGAGGGTCCAGCGGAGCCTCTCGAAGGCTTCAGGGGCCATTCTAGTGGAGCCACGGCACTGCAGCTTTTATTGCAGATTGTTTTGATGCTGCAGTGCAAGACTACAGTAAGTCACGGGAGCATGTACAACTTGAGTCCAACCCAACAGCAGGTATAAGACGGGTGTAAAGTCTCCAACATGCAATGAAGCATTTTTGTATTTTATGATACATGTTGCATTGTTGGAGGAGCTGGGGTCATAAGATTTGCATTGCCATTTCTACACTGTAGCTTATGTGCATATGACAATAAAACTTGTGAATTTGAGCGGGAAATACTTTTGCATTGATGAAAAATCCTGTAGGGTTTGGACTATTTAGTTTTACAGAAAATAAATACAAAAGTATCAATCTGATAACATTGTATGTGCTGTATACTATACACAACGATCCATATAATAAATTGATGGTGGAGTAGATACACTCTTCAGGCTTATTCTAGGTTCAAGGTAATGTTTATTGACCCACTAGGGAAATGTGTCTTGCAGAAAGGGTGCACATACAAACAGAATATAAAAAGAGAACATCAACAATGCATCAACAAAATAAATCACAGAGCTAGAGTAATAAAATAGAAATGCATATAGTGTGCAAGGAGTGCAGCTAGAGTGCTATTTGCTATTAAGCATATTAATAGCACTGGGATGATCAGGGGACGGTTATAAATATTTTTCCTTTATTCATCTGCAGTTTAAGAATAAGGTATGTTGTGGTCCTGTCATTTAAACATGCATGCACGTGGTGGAAGAAGTATTCAAATACTATTCTTAAAAAATCTATATAAGGATACTAAAAATGCCACTCCAGTAAAACTAGTGATACTTGAGTATTATTAGTTAAAAGTACTTTAGGACTTTTGACAAAGAGTACTCACAATGAAGAAAAAGCCCTTGTGTGCATTTAATCTGATATAAGCATTGGTATACATTGTTTTATTATTAAAGGTATTCCTATCTTGTGTTTAAAAATCCTAAAATACAAAGTAAAAAGTAAAGCTGTCAAATATTGTAGTGAAGTTAAAAGTACAATATTTCTCTCTTAATTGTCGAGGAGCATTAAGTATCAAAAAATGGTACTTAACTTGAGTTCCTTTAACCACTGTAAAACCTGACGTGGTGTAAATAGCCTACATAATAGGAGGTCCAAATGTTGTCATTATACTGTGTTGATATGAGAGGGTTTTCTCTGTGTGTGTGTGTGTGTGTGTGTGTGTGTGTGTGTGTGTGTGTGTGTGTGTCAGAAAGTGAGTCACAGGAACAGGGAAAGGAGCAGAAGAAAAGGTTAAAGATGATAAATGATTAAATGTTGGATGACAGAACTTACTGCTGCACCCATTGGCTCACCCTCACACAAACACACTCCCTCCTCCACCCAGGAGCTTCTCTTTCCGCAGTGTGAGCGATGACGTTCTCAGAGGAGTTCCCAAATCTGCTGTGAACAGCAGGTGATTATTAAACTCTTTTTGTCATATTGTTTAAAGCTGCCGATTCTTCATCATATTTTCTCACCTCAGTTGTTGGTGCTTACGTTGTTTTCAATGCGAGAGAAGAGACTAGGATTAAGCTGTTTTGTATGCACGTCGGCATCATCCACTTCACTAAATGAACACCTGTCACTCACGCCAAACACACGCACACATGCATGTTCTAAACACGTGTACACACACAGTCATCCATGAAGGTCTGCCACCTAGTGTTCATTAATGGGAAGTGTACAGCTACAGTATCCCATCAAGGATTCAATATAATCCCCAAATGTTTAGATGGATTGTGACTTTCTGTATAACTTCTGGATTACAAATGGTTAACCAAAAGGTTTTTGTTATTTTGCCTCTTTCATTTGTTCACATACACGCACAGACACTGAAATGACAGTTAATATCATATAAACATTTAATCTCTGTACAGGAATCAATATTTTCTAGTACTGATATAAAAATACCTTTGCTGCACCATGATCAATTCACACCCATACATACAGTAGGTAGTAAAATAACTTCATAAAAGAACATCATATGTGTGTTTTGAATGTTGTATAAAACAATATGAGCGTGCAAACATGACATCTATTAGATATTAAAAACAAAGTGTCACTCATACAAAAACACGTACAGTTTGTGGTACATTACATTGGCATATCTTTTATAATACTCTCTGCAAAAAAATATGTGATAATGTCTTTTTTCCTTTCTTCTTTTAAATATCAATAATAACTGTGTGAAAAACTTAAATAGCTTCTGTGTTTGAAGTAATCCCGTAGACCTGTGAGCAGAAGGAGACAGATAAGTCTTTGGAGTGAATACTTTTTTTCTCATATTTGGCTTCATGTGTAAAAATCAAGTAAGATGACCTGCGGGTACAATATTGAGTCTGTACATTATACAGTATAGGTTGATTTGAAAAAGGCTTTTGATACAGTACGTGTCCCTTTAGCCAGCGGTTCATGTCACAGAGTCCAGAGGGGCAGCAGAATGATGTCCGATTAGCAGAGGTGTTTCACACAGTGTTAGAATGTGCAGCAGATGTCCATCCAACTATTTTGAGTCTTAACAATGTTGGAATACGTGGTGCAACAGGCAGCATTTGGAAAGTCATTGATCTTGGCTTCATATAGTTTGTAGTGAAGTATCACTTGTTATCAGCCTGGCAGTCTCTATTTCCTATACATTCAATCCGGCCGGTTGGTCTCTGAAACAGGAAGTTCTCTCAAAGAGGATCAGCAACTCTTCCCCTGCTTTCAATTCAGACTCTCTGCGCAGAAGCAAGAGTCTTGCTTTGTATGACATCTTTAGATAATCGTTTCAAGAGTTTAGCGGAGAGCCATAGGTCATGGGCTGGTAAAGTGACACAACGTGAGATATTTCTGATTGGTTGACCTGAGCCGGAGTCCCAGCAGCGTGACGGAGCCTCCCTGGCTGCTGAGGTGGAGGTCAGGACGTCCCACAGAGGGCTGCAACTAAAGATGGCTGTGCACTGGAGGGCGGACACACAGGACGGAGGGAAAATAGATTGTCACACAGAGGAGAATGGAAAGTGCCAGAATGACAAAGTGTCTTCAAGGTCTATTTGAATATTAGCTACATTATGTTCAATTTAACTGTCATATCAATCTGTTATTTGTTTTTTAAACACATAACTTAAATAAACAAAAACAAACAAGACAAAAGGAAATAATTGAGATGCACACTATTTACCTGTAAATCTTCGGCCAATGGCAGTGAAGGTTTTCACTCAGAAGATGGAATTATCCTACAGTGAGACTGACAAAGAAATAAAAACACAAACTAATGTAGCAGTAACAATATTTAGTTCAGGAAACAGGGGTGTCTAATATATATACTTACTGGTTGACCTTTGCCATCCTTACGTTTGCAGTGAGTCTGTTCTGACCGACGTGCTGTACAGGGTGTGGACAAAGTTTGAAGTGAGAGCTTCAGAGCCCAGTGTTTGGACACTTATATTCACTGGGACACTCAGGTTGACGTTCTCTAGAATACACTAGAAAAAGGAAACAAAGTATGTAATACATTAGAGTGGTTAGTTTTATTTTTTGAGTGATAAGTGCTTTTAGGAGACAGATACCTTGGTGCACGCTGAGCTCATGACCGATTTGTGGAAGTCTCCATCAACAAACACCTGAGAGGTGACAGGAAAGAGTAAGTACAAAAACAAATAAATACTGAAGTCCATGTAAAGTCCATGTAGTTTGTTGTGCCTACCCTGTACCCGTACACAAATGCGCCGTTACTGCAGCCCAGCTCATCCAGTGGCGGCCTCTCCCAGCCAATCAAGAGGCTGCTTTGTCCGACTGTTCTGATGACCTCAACAGAGCGAACCTCGGCTGGAGCTTCTGCAGGGCATCGGATAAAGTAAGGTAAAACACACTGTCCTAATTTACTTGCATCTATATGATTGGAATGCTGTGAACAGGAGGCCATTTTCCATTTCTCTCTTCGTTAAATGGTAATCTGATTTTACATCTGACTGTTACCTTAAAACTAATTATACTACAATAAGGTTATATTCACGTAACAGGACTCGCAATGAGTCCTGTGCATACAGCACCACCTCAAAACACAAACAATTCATCACCAAGTCTTTCAATGTGTTACTGCTTGGGAGTGATAAATGAACACTGATAGAGTAGCCTTCAGGCTTTTCAAATTGGTTACATCATGGTCAACCTCATGGTTTTGTTCAAATACACCCTATCTGGCAGAGAGCCTGCAGGCTAACTTCCCCTGTGTGTGCAATAAACTGCAAGAATTTGTGCTGGAATTTCATATATTATTTCCAATAAAAGAGACAGTAATAGAAAATGGTCCATATCTAGGCTCAGTATAATCCCACTGCGGCACTATAAAAGCACATTTCCTGCCATCTTAAATGGCAATATTATGCACCAAAGCTACAACATGTGTTTATGCAACGTTTCAGCAAATGCTTTTTTATTTTCAAATCAATTTCACCTTTTATGAAAACAAGATTTTATTCCACCAGGACTAGTGTTTTTCCTTTGTGTAATTCATGTCAAATATTGTGTCTTACCAGGTTTAGGTCTTGTTGTCTTGGTCTTTTCTAAAGCAGTGGTGGACTTTCTGGAAGACTTGGACCTCTCAGCAGAGCAATGAGCAGGTGAAGTGCAGGGTGCAGCAAATATAAGTCCATGATATGCAGGGGTAGCACCATCCGTTTCACAAGGCATGTTGAAATGGTTTTCCTCAGGTACAGTTGGTCTTCTCGGGGCAGTTGTGTCTGAGACAGTGTTTTTTGGATTAGTCTCAGAACATATTAAGACATCAGAGTCAATGGTACAAGTCCTCGGAGTTAAGGGAGTAGGAGCTGTTTGCTTCGCATCAGATTTGTCTGGGATGGAAGTGATTTTCTTTGGGGATGTTGTTACATTAGTGCCACTGCTTGAAGTGGGTTTGGCTTTGCTAGCTGCCACAGTGTCGAAAGGAGAGCTAGAAAGTGCAGGCTTTGTGGTTTTAGACGTGTCTGCTTTAAAGTGATGGTATGTAAACAAGTTCGGACTGAAGCTAACATGAGCAGATCTTGAGGTGACTGCATTAAAGAGTGTGTTAGACGCATTTGTGGACCTCACTGCTGGAGTGTGCTTAGCTTGGCTCACAGCAGCAGCAGTCAGCAGGGAGTTGGTATTTTGATCATTCAAACTGAGGCTCTGCTTCTTTGTGAGAGAGGCTGGTCTCAGGTCCGCAGGAGCTGAAAACGAGAGACATTTCCTGGGCTGATGTCGTCTTCCTCTGCCCTCTGGATCCTTGAAACGGAGAGAATAAAATGTATTATACGTACCATAACATTTCAGATTTGGGTTGTAGGCCAAGAAGGGTTTCACATACAAGGAATTTCTTTTGGTATTTTGGAGTAGTAGACTTAAAATACACATGGTAAGAGAAATGTTAATAACAAAATAAAAACAAGCAAGAACATAAATGTAGTAAAAAAAGGAAACATACAAATGAACGATATTAATATGAAAAAATATGTACAATGTCCGTTTTGTATAATGTCTAAAAATGTACAATAAAACTCAAATCATACAATCAACTTTGTTCAACACTACCCACATGCCTGATGCTGAAAAAACTTCTTTGTACCTGATAACTGCTCATGAGCATCCTCTGCAGCTGCTCATGGAGGTTGATGATCTTCTCAGGACTACTCAGCCTCCTGCTGGGACTGACACGCTCCCTGCAGGGGAGAGGAGAGGGACTCAGAGAAGATCTGGTCCAAGGGATGGGATCTGGAGAGGACTTCCCTTTCATGTTTTGGTGATGACATTTCTCTGGTCGACTGGCAGAGGGAGAGAGCTGTGGTGGGATTAAGAAAAGGCTTATAGTAGTCTATTACCCAATTGAATTGACTCTAACAGACATGTGATTGTACAAACAACAGTAATATGTGTCACTCAACTTGGATAACTTGTAAAGATGCTTTTAAGGAAAAATGATGCTGTTGCCGAGATTGTAGCAGCTTTGTTAAAATGTGCATTAAACCATGTTTTCTCATTACCAAGGGGAATGAGCACAGCCAGGTATATCTCACTGTTTTACGGGCTCTGATCACCATTTGAAGATGCACTTTCAAAATGGTAAACCCATCCGAAAGTGAATGAGAGCATTTCCCATAAACACAGCTGCAAATAATATCTTTGCTTGAAGGGTTTTTTTTTTCTCCTGAAAATATTAAAGATGTTGGAAGTGCTTGTATTGCTTTTTTAACAATCTGCCATTGTGACAGCATGAAACAACAAACCATTAAATGTTTTTTCTGTAATGGTTACAATTAATTCAGGCATGGCTGCACGTAAAGGAGACTTGATGAGTCGGGAACTGCCGGCTTATCTGTCTATTTATGAGGATGGTTTCACAAAAAATGCAGAAACAGTTTATTGCTGGTAAAATGCAACACTTAACAGACCATTAAGCCAGAGTCATTTCAGAAAGAAAAGCGTGTTTATAAATATACATACATTTCACATAAATACATTATTTGTAGTATCTTACCGGTGCTGGATTGGATTTGAAGCTCTCTTTCAGTTCTGGAACAACAGGTGATGGCGTCGCTTGGAGGCGCTCGTGCACAGGTGCGTTGGCATTTTTCTTCAGTGTGGCTGTTGGTGCAGGAGTGACTTCACTAATGCAGTCAGCTACAGCTGTGACCAAAGTTGACTGTTTTTCACTTTTTAGTTTTCTACATTTCACTCCAGATTCAGGTATGAGTTCATTTTGGTAAAGCTGATTCACAAGTAGTGGTATAGAAGAGCAGCTCTGATCTTCCGTGAGTCCACTGGTGTAGTCTTGGAATTTGGAAATGAATCCTGGTGTAAAGCCAGCGCTGTGATCTCGTGTCTTTACGGTGCTCCCTGGTGTGAATGCTGCAGTGTAGTCGTTCAGAGCGGCGTCACTGAGTAGATGCTCCACCTGCAGCGTTAGAGTTGAGTCTGCACAGCCTCTTCGATGCATGTCCTTCATCATCTGAAGCAACAGGCTGTTCCTCTCCAGACACTTCACCACCAGGCAGGACAGCTTGGCCTGGTTTTGGACGAAACACCTGACGATCAAACTCAACAACGAAAATCATCTTACTGAATCGAATAAAGACATTATAAATTGCCCCCATACACGAATATACCTGGTTCAGTACCACTGGAGTCAGTCGTTTTTTTTGTAGTTTTTGAGCAATGGTTAGATGGAATAAAACACTTTTTCCCAAAATATGTGATATTGATAATATATATGTGTTATTAGAATATATGAGATTATAATTAATCACTAAAGATCTCTAAGATGTGTTTTACTAAACGGTTTCGAAAGTATCCTTTTGTTGTGATTGCATGTGTGTTGCAGATACATAGCAAAGAGTAAATGCATTTTTGTTACATCAGATAATGCAGATCTAAAAAAACTAAAATAAACAGTTTAGAACAGTCCTACATAATTATTGTAACATGTCAATAGGAATAAAAAGGTATTTTCCTCACCCTTAAAGGAGCTACCTCCAGATCCGTATGGCTCCTCTTTTTCAAGAGTTCATCATACTACAGCACAAATACAATAAAAAAATATATGCATGAAACGTATACTGTTAACACCCAGACAGGAATGTAGAAACACATGACAAACAACAAACTGCTTTGACTTTAACGGAGATAAGAGCTGACTGGTTCCTTACTTTAGCTCTGATGTCGTTGTAGCGCGTCCTGAGCGAGACGAGAGCCGTGCTCAGATCATCCTTGCTGCCCTGCCCTCGTTTCAGAGCGATATACTCAGAGTTCAGCTCCTCTAGAGCCACTGTCTGCGAGGTTTGACACACACATCAACACATGTTTACACACACACACACACACACACACACACACACACACACACACACACACACACACACACACACACACACACACACACACAGATCTGAGATGGGAACTTATTGAATTTAAAGATCTTCTTTAAGTTTAATTTTTTTATTTGCAGATCAAGAATCAAATAGTTGAGATCAAATGTACAGTTCAATGTATAGGCCCTTGGAGATTGATCATAGTGCATATTACAAATGTGATACTTGATAAATATGATATGATACATCTCAGTTAGTTGATTTTAGCTATGCATCAGGAAAGACTGATGTAAACAATGTATTACTCTTACTGTTGTGTTTAAATGGAGGGACTCTTAATTTCCTTTAAAAGGACAGAAGTTAGTGATCTCCATTTAAAACATGTGGGGAGTCATTGTAAGCAAGCCTGTCCTGTGTTTGTAAGTACTTTAAGGAGTGTGCTACAGCAATAAAAAAAGAAAGAAACTCTGTTTACCTTAGCTTTGAGCTGAGCTGTGAGGATGTCGTGTCGCTCCTCAATGTGTGTCTTTAGTGACAGAGCATCAGTCCTCTCCCTGAGCAGGCCTGTGACTTTGCTCTGCAGCTGCTTCACCTGAGACACATAAACAGCGATTAGGTCTAACACATAAATAAGAGACAGACACAGATAGCAAATGAACATTGTTTGGGTGTACACATGGGGTGTAAATGAGGGAAACGAAGCATCACTGAGTCCAACTGATATTGGCATATTCAGAGCTTATGTTGAGTTTTTCCTTATTGTTTATTCAGTATTTTTACATTTCATTTTGGTTAAATACCTGTGTTGTGAGGTTGTCATTTTCCTCTCTGGTTTCTTCCATCCGATTGGCTACAACAGTCATCCTCACCATCTTGTCAGCTGCCTTCCTCTCCGCCTCCTCCCTCCTGGATTCTGATTGGAACAACTCCCTCTGCAGCCTCTTGTTCTGAGCATGACGCGAACATACACACAATAAGTTAGTAAAATCCGCAATGATACACCAAGCACTGTAAATGTAGAAAAGGCAGAAAATGATAGAAAGAAACAAAAAAAACTTTCCCCACAAATCCAAATCCGTGAAGTGAGTGAACATTTTTTTTATTATGAAGGGCAGACCATCTATTTCTATTTATTTAGTTTTTTTTAGAAAGGGGCAGGTCATATAAGATTGTATTCTTCTCCCTGCTCCTTTTCGCTCAATGGTGTGTTTATAGAGACATGTTTTTTTGGCAATTATTGTACATTTGGTTATGCGTACCATGAGCGGGACAAATACAAATGAAATGAAATCCAAATTCAAAAGTGAACAATATCATAAACATTTTGAAGTTTGGGTTTGAAAAAACAACGCAACTGAAGTGCTGCTGAGTTCTCACCTTAATGTAGTCAAACCTGAGTTCGGAATTAGTTTTAACTAAACATATTTGTTGTTTAATCAATAGCAAGTTTAAAAATGAATATTATCTTTCATCACAAAAATATGTAGACATATGAATGTTAATGTGTAAACTCACATCTACACGGCTCTGGTCCAGTTCCTCATGAGACGTCTTTAGTTCTGCTCCCAAAGCTTCAAGCTCCCTCCTCAGATCACTTAGCCCCTGTGTTCAATCAAGATAAAGCTGCATAAGTAATCCAACATAGTGATACACAAGCAGACATGTTACTCGAGGATATTCCTATTGACACTTATATCATGCACAAAGGTAATAAGCCCCCCACTCTCAATACCTCTTCAGTGTTTCCTCTGTGGTCCCGAGTCAGACATCTCTGTGTATCTCCTGTTTCAGTCTCAGTCGTCAGAGGCTGCTTCTGATTCCTCCTCTCTGTTTGTGTTGGGCTGGGCAGAGCAGCTTTGAGGCTGTCTCTTTCCTCTCTTAGGCCCTGAAGTAAAAGCTGCATCTGCTTTTCTTCCTGTTTCAAACAGCTGATTGAATGCTCAATTCTTTCTTCATCTTCTCTCAAAGTGATAGCTGATTTTATTAACTCTTCACGTTCTTCTTGTGAAGTGGAAGATGATCGTTCCTCGTCTCTCTGTTTCTTCAGACAATTAAGAGAATCAGAGAGTTCATCCCTCTCTTGTTTTAAATGAAGCACCGCCTGGCTCAACTGCTCACTCTCTGTCTGTACACTTTGTAGTGACTGCATGATTTGATCTCTTTCTTCTTTTCCATGTGAGAGAGATTCTAGCAGTTTCTCTTTTTCTATTTCGAGGCCAGATAAAGACTCTTTCTTCTCTTTCAGGCCACTCGTAAGCTGGTCCCTCTCATCCTTGAACCCACAGACTGTCCTCGTGAGCTGCTCTCTCTCTTGTTTCAGACCAGCCACAGATTTAGAGATGCCGTCTTTCTCCTCCTTCAGTCCCCAAACTGTCCGAGTTAACTGCTGTTTCACTTCCGTCTGTGTTTGGACGGACAGACTTACTTCTCTCTGATGCGCCCTGAGAGTATTCAGGCTGCCTGACAGTTCTTCTTCTTCTGTTTTGAGGCTCTGGACAGTCTTGGTCAGCTGGGACACTTTATCAGTCAGTGTACTAACACTGCTTAGCAGATCATCTTGATTATTATGCTGAGAACTGGCTGCTGTAACTACAGTCAAATCTTCTGCTTGTTGACTGGACTCAAGCCGCGGTTCATCCCCTTTTAGCATGCTCTCCACCAAACTGTCAACACATTCTTCGAGGTTCTTCTGTTGAAAACGTCCTGATGTCGCAGCTGAGAATTCACTTTGCAGTTTGTGGCCAATCTGTGACTCCTCCATACGTTGTTCACTCTCCACTAACCTTTGCTGCAGCTCCATGATGCTATTCAGATCATCCTCAGTCTTCTTGGTGAGTTCTGTAATCAAACACTCTTGTTCCTGGCTCTCCTGCTTCAGCGTGACTCTGTCTGCCTCTAGCTCGGAGATATGTTGCCTCAGATGTGTTCGCTCCCTCTTGATCTCCTCTTCTCTGAGCTCATTGTGAGCCAGAAGCTCCTGAATCCGTTCTGCCAAGGCCCGGTTCTCCTGGTTCAGGGCCAAGACAAGTTCATCCTCACCTCCATCACTGGGTGCTAGTGTGCTAACCTGAGTAAACAAAATGGTAGAATTCATGATAAACTGAAAAAGATTGTGATGGAAAATTGGTAAACTTGGGAATACTGACACCGCTGTGACATACCTCTTTTGAAGACCCCTGCTGCGCATCTGCTTCTTGTTTCTCAGCGTCTTTCTTTAGTTGTAATTTCATTCGAGTGTTCTCCTGGTCAATCATCCGCAGCTGCTCCTGTGTTTTCCCCAGGGTGACCTCCAGGCGGTCACGTTGATCTTGAAGTGCTTTGAGATCATCCCCTAACCCCAGGCTCCTGTAGGCTTCCATTAGGGCCTCAGATTCCTCACTGGGGCTTTCCTCCATGTTTAGGATCCCTCTGGAGCACCAGGTCCCCAGTTTCAACTCATCTAGTTTCTCTGTAGTCAAGGAGAGTGACTGGGGACTGCTGTTGTTTCTTTTAAAGGTTTTAGGCGGATTTTCTGATTTGGCAGATGAAGAGTGATCCTCTGAGTTGTCCTGTAGGCTCTCTGCTGCCACCAGCTGGTGAACAGGTGGAACTACAGAGGAATAAGGCTGGCCTGTTCCCTCATCCGACGTTAGATGTACCTACACAGGGATGACAGTTGTGGGACAAAATGTGTGAATCCTGTGAAAATGAAAATTACAAAACTGAATATAACATAATCCCACAACTGTTATCTCTATAGTAGCTATAGTGACACATTTATATTTAGACACACCTTGAAGCATTGACAACACATTATGTAACATCCTAATCCTATCGAGAGCTTTCCCTTTTCAGGAGATTTCACCCTTTTTATGCTTTAATACCTTCTTTTGGAATAACAAGAAGGTATTAACAGCATTAAGCCAATAATGAAACCGAATTGAATATTTGTTCACTCTTTAAATATGTTTACCAAAACTTTATGATTCGTCTAATGTGAAAAACTACACTGAACAAAAATATAAATGCAACACTTTTGTTTTTGCTCCCATTTTTCATGAGATGAACTCAAAGATCTAAAACATTTTCTATATACACAACGAAACCATTTCTCTCAAATATTGTTCACAAATCTGAAAAAATCTGTGATAGAGAGCACTTCTCCTTTGCCGAGATAATCCATCCCACCTCACAGGCGTGGCATATCAAGATGCTGATTAGACAGCATGATTATTGCACAGGTGTGCCTTAGGCTGGCCACAATAAAAGGCCACTCTGAAACGTGCAGTTTTGCTTTATTGGGGGGGTCTGGGGGGGTCCAAAAACCCTAGGGTTAAACCCTAACCCTAACCCTAAGATGTCACCCATTGAGCATGTTTGGGATCCTCTGGATCGGCGTATACGACAGCGTGTTCCAGTTCCTGTCAATATCCAGCAACTTCGCACAGCCATTGAAGAGGACTGGACCAACATTCCACAGGCCACAATCAACAACCTGATCAACTCTATGCGAAGGAGATGTGTTGCACTGCGTGCGGCAAATGGTGGTCACACCAGATACTGACTGGTTTTCTGACCCCCCCAGACCCCCCCATGAAGCAAAACTGCACGTTTCAGAGTGGCCTTTTATTGTAGCCAGCCTAAGGCACACCTGTGCAATAATCATGCTGTCTAATCAGCATCTTGATATGCCACACCTGTGAGGTGGGATGGATTATCTCGGCAAAGGAGAAGTGCTCACTATCACAGATTTTTTCAGATTTGTGAACAATATTTGAGAGAAATGGTTTATTTTGTGTACCGGTATATAGAAAATGTTTTAGATCTTTGAGTTCATCTCATGAAAAATGGGAGCAAAAACAAAAGTGTTGCATTTATATTTTTGTTCAGTGTAGTTTAAATGAATCCCAGAAACAACTTACTTCATTAAATCAACTAATAGTCCTCTTTAATCTCTCAGAAACTTGATAAATACTTCTTGTCTAAACTATTTTCTCAAGAAACCATAAATGTATGTATGTAAGTGTATAAATTCATGGCATTCAAAAAAATAATAGAAATAAAATTGAAGCTGTTCAGTTCTTTTTGTAAATATCTGTTTTTGATTAGATACTTTTAAATGAAATGTGGAATGATTGTGTTAAGAAAACTGGATTTGGATATTATAATGGGTTCTTGTATTCATGGCTGTTTTGTTTCTTTTTACTTGTTCTTATATATTTTGTTAAGCTATCTTTCTCTTATCTAAACAAAAAGTTAACATACAAAATATGTGGTTGTATGCTCAAACGGCAACTCAATGGTTGCTTATTAAAGTTAAAAAAACAACTTAAAAGTCTAATCACACTGAACTTTACATTTTTGACCTTTTTAGAGGTAACTTTGTTGTGTTGTTTATCTGTTCTGACAGTGTTGATCTCCAAAAAAGAAAGCTACATTTAATATAATATTGTTTTACGCACCTCTCCCATGGCAGTGCGAGAGACAGTGTTGGTCCCAGGACATGTGGCGGTGTGTTTAGCTGCATCTGTAAGACTCTGCTTGAGTCTCTGGTTCTCCTCCTTCAGCTCTCCAGACTCCTCCATCAGGGAGCTTTCAGAAAGCTTCAGCTGTTGCTCCTCTGCCTTCATCTCCTCCACCTTGCACCCCAGGAAGTGGCTGTTCTCCTGGGACTCCTGAAGCTGCTCCATCAGTCTTCTCCGCTCTGTCATCCCATGCTCCTCTCTCTCCAGCAGCACCCTGAGGTCCTCCTGCAGGCTCAGGACGAAGCCTTGCAGCCTGGCTTCACTTGGAGTCTGCGTTGCATCTTTGACTGATCCCCCTTGTATGCCTTTCTCAGCTTCCCTTTCATTTCCCACACTGGACTGCCATTGCCTCCTCCTCTCCTCCTTTCCCTCTTCCTCTCCTTCCCCCTCTCCTCTCGTAGGAGGAAGCCTCTCCTGTTCTTCCCAGTGTGTCAGAGTCCCGGCGGTGATTCTGACTGCACTGATTTTTGTCAAACCAGTGGCTGCACTCACGGTCATGTCCAGCAGCTGCTTCTCTAAGGTGTGGATCCGGTTCTGTTGGCTCTGCTCTCGGTCCCGGGCCAGGCTGATCTTGTGCTGGAGTTGGGTTTTAAAGTTTTCAAAGTACTGGGACTGGCGACTCATCTCCTCCTCTTTGGCCTTCAGCTGCCGCTGACAGCGCTGCAGTCTGTCCCGCCAAACCTGCTCCCCTCGCTCCTTGTCCCGGGTCTGGGACATTGAGACATTAAGACAAGCACATAGAGAAATTATTTTCTCGAGGTACAGGGATGGGGAAGGTGTTTGATTATGTGTATATGTGTGAGTATGTAGGTGTGTATATGTATGTGTGCATATATGTATATCAGTGTATGTATATGTGTATATGTATTAATGTCAATCAACAGGTAAAGCAGATTAATAATAATAACAATAATAATGAATAATAATGATAATTATTGCAGATTATAGATTATAAATAAATCATTTAGGGACAAGGGGGTGAGATTAAATAAGTTATACTTCTTCTCACTCCTTTTCGAACACTAGATGTGGCACTGTTTATGTTGCTAATGCTGTTGTTGTTGTAAATTTCATTTTGTGTTTGATTTCTCTTACTGTACATGACTATGCACTGCAACATTTGTTTTGTTTTGTAATTATTTATTTTACTTGTTCGAAATAAATGTATCAATCAAAGTCTGAAAAGATTAACAGTTATTCAAAGCTACACTGCTGTCCTCTAAGAATATGAAATAGTGTGTGTGTTATTGTTGGTATTATCTGTAGTTAAAATGTGTGACTTGTGTCTTTTTATTTGTATTGTGCATGATTGAACAAACCTGAAATAAATTAAGCTATCTATCTATAAAACGAACACAGTGTACTTCACTTAAAAGCAGATACACAATGAAAATGCATCATTCAAATTGCCTTAAACCTCAAAGATTGAAATAAAACATTTTAAATAATGAAGGAACATAAATTGTTATTTTCAAGCACTCACCATCGTCCTGACCTCGTCCCTGAGCAGGTGTAGCCTCTGGTCCAGCCTGTAAGAGTGTTGCATGCTGGGGGGTGGGGGGCAGAGGTTAGCTGACAGAGCTGTAGCAGCAGGGTCCTCTCTGACCTCTATCTCCCTGATCCCATCACCACATCACTGACAGGCTCACATTACATCCCATCAACTTCACACAAGGGTGCACGTACGCATACAAACTGGAAGGTTGAATAACTTTGATCTAGTTTTCTACTAACCTTCAAAAGAGAAGAGTGAGAAGATAACATGCATATAAAAAATGTCCTCCAGCTAATGATTCCAGAGGAGATGTTAGCAGCCGTGTGCTCGCAGTGTGCAGAACAGTCAGGTGTGTTTGAAATGTGAGATCACCTTGGACAAATGTGAGTATATAGCAGCAGGTGGGTGTGTGTGTGTGTGTGTGTGTGTGTGTGTGTGTGTGTGTGTGTGTGTGTGTGTGTGTGTGTGTGTGTGTGTGTGTGTGTGTGTGTGTGTGTGTGTCACTGGATCCCCTCTCCCCCAGTCTCTCACCTGTTCCTCGGGTAGCTGTCAAACTGGAGGGTCGAACCGTCACGCTGCTCCAGCTCAGATCCCATCGAGTCTGTTGCCATAGTTACTACACTTCTTCCGGTACCCGTCATGTCCGATGAGGTCATGTGATCCTCCACTGGTTAGCCTGCAGTGAGTTTAACCTGCAAAAGGAGCTGAAGGTGTCAGCTTCACTTTAATGTAAAACTAACGCTTCCTTAAAAGTAGAAGTGTTACACATCCTCCCTATGATTCTTGTTTGTATTTTCTTAACTACAGCCTCTCCATAAACACAAAGCCATTGGCAAAGATAAAAGCAGACATAGGAAAATATACATAAGCATTAAGTCATGTATTATTCACCATTTCAACAGCTTGGTAGCAAGTTGTAGAAGGTGGTATTTCTCAGATTACCCTGCCTCCTAATCCTGCCGTCTCCTCCTTCTCCTCAGATCACCTCTCACTAATTCTCCAGTTCCCCCAGAACTCAAAGAGTAGGTTCTTACTCACATGCCTGTATGCAAATTGAAACAGCTTTTGGTCTGTTGTGATAATCACATTGGTGTCAATTGTTGGGCTCGGTCTTGTCACCTTTATGGACAGGACGGCAGTGTGAAATTATGAATGACTCACTTGATGAGCATATTTTTATATTTACATATTAAATAAAATACTGTTAATAAAACTGTAAAATATGTTTTAAAATTAGGAAAGTGGGAAATTGTTGTCATCAGGTCAAGAGCCTAGATTATCTTTTTATTGCATTTGTATATTCATACATTTGTTCATGGTGTGCCTCTCTTCTCTAGAAATGTGTTTTGGATTGTAATTTGTGAAAGAATATGGTTATTGTTTTCTTTACTGTTGTAACCTAATAAGTAAGCTAGCAAGTAAGTGTAGCCAATGCATAACAAAACTACATAAGTCAATAAAATAACCACTTCTCATTTTTGTAAAGAGAAAAAATCATGATCTTGCTGATTCTGTTTTGTAGTAATTTAAAAATAGTCAAACACAAGGTTAAATATGAGCTGTTGTAGTATTACATGTACAAAGGATTGGATTATCAAAGGTAATATAATTATAATAACCTGTTTTTTGCACTCCACTGATTGCAGTTTCATCTTCTTAATGCAGTGACGATCTTCAAGTAACTTTAGCCTTCAGTGTGTAAACTTAGTTGCGCTGCTGTTGCCTTAGAAACATCCCAGACGTTGGACTTTGCCAGAATCCTCCAACAGTCGGCACTCAGCTTGTCCCCCCCCGTCCCCTCACTCCCCTCACTCGGCTCTGTGCTTTCACTCTCCTTGTCTCCCCTCCATCTTTCCTTTCTTTTAACCAACAGGGCATTCTTTCAACAGAGGCTGATTCTTTTCTCCCTTTAATAAATCCTCTGATTCAGAGTTTTCTCTCAGTAAATCCACGTTTGCTTCTCACAGAGGAGTTTTTATATTCCAGGTCCAAGAACCATTATAGTAAATGTTATTTATAAATAAATCTGACTTCAAACCTTAAGTATATCTGGTTTCTTATTACATTTTCAAATATGTTTGCATTCCATGTAAGGGTCAAAAGTGCACATTTATCAAAAAGGCCATGGGGTTTTCATGAGCTGTCTACAAATACATAAAAAACGATTAGGTTTTGTTTCGTTCTTGCTTGCATCCACAGCAACCTCATCACACCTAAGAGAAGTAAAGGGTGTTTCTTATTATATCTTCATTATTTGTTTTTTCACTGTAACTGTGTTAAGTACTGTTATGAAACTGCAAATAAAAGTTTCTACCTGATGTGTGTCCAGGGTCACTTTCATTAAGGCCAAAGAATAAATGCTAAAGAGAAAAACAAAAAGAGGAACAAAAACTAAAGAAAAACAAGGGGTATAATCAAGAGGGTGAGAAGAAAAAGAGTATCAATATGTTAATAAAAAACACACCATCAGTAAATCTTCACAATCTCTCTTGCTTACGTGTTTCTAGTCATATTAAAGTAAAAAGGGAATATTTACCTTTTCCTCTATGTCCTTTATTTGTCTCTTTTGCAGCTCAAGCCTGTCCTCCAGGTCTCTAATTCTCTGTAAGGAAAGGACAGACGTGGCTAAGTCAACAGATGAAATACAGTCACTTTATAGTCAACAGTTAATGAGACCAGCATCCAGCTATTCCTTTTTCCCATCATGCCTTTCTGTCTCCATGGAAGCTGTTTTGGGTAAGAATGAGCTGCCATGGCAACCAAAGGGCAGATTAAACAGTGAGAGTGACTCCGTCTTTTACACCTAAAACCAGAGCAGCATATTCCCTGGTTGAACATTAACATATAAGTGTTAAATATCTTATCTAGCTAAAGCATCATTCACGGTTTAAAAAAGGAGGATTTTGGCAGAGAGACAATGATAGCCATTGAATTACAAAACAAAACCACCTGCTTTTTTGTTTAATATCATCATTCCAATGAATCTCTGTTGGAGCTGATGCTAAATCCAAAATCATATGAATCATTCATTAAGTAAATACAAATAAGCTGTTTACTATTAACTAATCCACTGTGTCAGCAAGGAGGGTGAGAAAGTGCGAGAACTAAAGCCCGACTGCAGGGAAAAGGGAATAATTTTACTGAACCTTTAAATCTATCAGGACATTCCATCAATACATTTGCTTATTATATTTTATGAGTAGTTGATAAGAAATGTGTGTGTAATGTTTAGTGGTGAGAGATAAGAAGAAAATGTTAGGAAGTTACAGTACAGAAAATGGTTCAAATGATTTTAAGGGGCAGTGGTTGTTGATGCACTCAATGAGTTGCATAAGATGTACGAGACATGGGTGTAAAAACTAATGTGAGGGCTGCAGAGTGGAGGGATACTGAAGAAGTTAGGGTGGGGGTATTGATTGATACATTTATTTCTAACAACTAAAATAAATAATTACAAAACAAATGTTGCAGTGCAGTCATGTAAGAGAAATCAAAACAAAAAATTACATTTACAACAACAACAACAGCATTAGCAACATAAAAAGTGCCACATCTAATGTTCGAAAAGGAGTGAGAAGAAGTATAATTTATTTAATCTCACACCCTTGTCCCTAAATGATTTATTTATAATCTATAATCTGCAATAATTATCATTTTTATGCATTATTATTGATATTATTAGTATTATTAATCTGCTTTACCTGTTGATTGACATATATACATACACACACTGATATACATATATGCACACATACATATACACACCTACATACTCACACATATACACATACACCTTCCCCATCCCTGTACCTCGAGAAAATAATCTCTCTGTATTTCCTCTTGAACTGGTTAATGTCTGGACATCGCTTTAGCTCCACATTCACACTGTTCCATAGTCTCACTCCACAGGCTGAGATACAAAAAGTTATTCTGGTTGTACGGACCCTATGAATATCGAATTTAAATTGTCTCATGAACTATATCCCCCCACTCGTTGAGTGAATACTTTTTGTATGTTTCCTGGTAAAACGTTATGATTAGCCTTAAACATGATTTGTGCCGTTTGGAATTCTACCAGGTCTGTGAATTTTAACAGTTTTGACTGCAGGAATATTGTGTTAGTGTGACCAAGGTATTTGGCATTGTGAATGATTCGTATGGCTTTTTCTTTGTAGAATAGATACTGCATGTATAGAACTTTTGTAGTTATTGCCCCAGATTTCAGCACAGTAATTCAGATATGGTAAGACTAGTGAACAGTAGAGAATGCGAAGTGATTTCTGATCTAGAACTTGTTTTACTTTGTTTACTATGGAAATGCTTCTTGACAGCTTTGATTGTACATGTTTTATGTGTAATTTTCAACTTATTGTGTCATCTATTATCCGACTGCTCAACGTCGTCTGGTGTGAAGGTGCGCACGTGTCCGTCCAAGTGGCTGACCGGTGATGCCCTCCATGGCCTCCTTGCACACATACACACCTCGCTCTTCTCTCTTGGAATGGCACATCAACACAAAATGTAGACCACGATCGATCGACGCGACTCTGCTATATTCCTCCGACAAATTTACTTTTGGTACTCCTCGCCTGTAAAGTAGGTGTTGCACGCGGCTCGTGAACTGAAATACCGTCCATGACATTGAGGTTGCTAGTAGTGTCACTGTGTGTGTGTGCTGTGTGTGTGTGTGGTGTGTGTCGGTTTGTGTGTGTGTGTGTGTAGCGTGTGTGTGTGTGTCTGTGGTGTGTTGTGAGTGTTGTGTCGTGTGTGTGTGTTGTTGTGTGTGTGTGTGTGTGTGGGGTGTGTGTGTGTGTGTGTGTGTAGTGTTGGTGTGTGTGTGTGTGTGTGTGTGTGTGTGTGGTGTCTGTGTGTGTGTGTGTGTGTGTGTGTGTGTGTGTGTGGTTTGTGTGTCTGTGTGTGTGTTGTGTGTGTGTGTGTGTGTGTGTGTGTGTGTGTGTGTGTTGGTAGGTGCCACGGTTGGGTTCGCCAGAGTAGTCGTGTGAATCAAGTACCAAATCTGATAACGAAGGTGACACCAAACAACAGGTACTTGCGAATCAGACCACGTGTGTCATATTAGCCATGTGTGTGGACTTGTGTGAGTATGTCACTCGTGTGCAAGGCCCACCGGTGTATTACGCTGTTGTGTCCGAGAGTTAGAAAAAAATTTGCGCAATTAAAAACACATCAGGTGAAGAATTTTCATCCATGAACAAAATATAGTTTAATTAATTATATTATATATGATATATATAGATATTAATTTACTTGTGTAAATGCTTATATTACAAAAAAATACCTTTATAATGGTAAGTTAGAGGAGCGGGTTGACTAACGACGACAGTGAGCCGAGAACCATAAGTCCGTAAATAGCTAGCTTGGAAAGATTCCTAGTAAATTCCAGTAATATACTGTTTCTTTGACGGGTTACTTTCTATGTCCTCTTTTGTTTTATATAGCTAACAGGTGTGCCTAGTGTTTCCCCTAAATGTTTCTACGGACGTTTTCTTTTTGTGAGATATATCCCCTCTGAAGTAATTTGTTTCTTGAGTTTCACGTCTCCTATCTTATATTTTATTTATATTTTATTCAACTGCATTATAATATTCTTGTTCGGCTTCTTCTGATAATATTTTCCCTTAATTTATCTATTTTTGTTTTCGTTATAATTTCCTTATACCCTAATATGAATTTCATAACATTCTTTATTCCAGATTTGTCTTCCCTATTAGGACTCATAAAATGCACTATTGATATATTGCTTTTCATATTGCATTTATTACATCGATTGTTGAATTTAGTTAAAGAAACACTAACAACCTAGGCTAAACCTCCCCTTTTTAGGGACTAGGATCCCTGTTGACCCCTTGTAGTTGCGCTACAAAACCTCTCTTTAGGGACGAGTACAAGTAATTTGGTCAACTACTATTCGTCTCTATAATTTTAACAAGGTCTTTACATTTTTATTTTTCAAGAATGACCTAATATTACTGTAACTATACTGTAATAATTTATTACCAGTAACCGCCCTAAACATTTGGTAATTGCGACTATGCAGACATTGAACAGTAAAGGTTTGGCCATGAACAGGTCTTGTTTTACTTTATCCGTTTCAGTATTGGACATATGTGTTGACCCTTGTTCGTAGTGAAGTGTTTGATGTCTGGATAGATAAAATGAAGGGGTTAAGAGTTTTATGATTCTCTTATAAATTGTTGTCTGATCTTTTCGTGTTATTAGTGCCTGTCAGTTATGCCTAAGTCTAGTCTGTCTAGTTGTAGTGACCGTTAATACCTTAGTTAACTCCTATAGTGTCTACGGGAACTGTGTTGTTTATACGTCAACCCTAAACATATCTATAATTTTTCTCGAAAACTGTGTTAGTTGGTACTGTAAGGATCATATATATTTAATCTTTCCATACCATAGTCCCCAGATCAAAATCTGACCTAATTTTCGATAAATTCGTTATCTGTCGTCATGACATTTCTGCCCTTACTGACAAGAAGTACAAACCTGTAACGAACACCACAGGGGGTCCCCAGTCACAACCCCAGGATTTACAAATATGACATGTAGTTACTGTAGACATCTCATAGGTTACATGACCTCTCGATCAAAGAAAAACGACTACTATGTTTATATAAGACAAGACCCTCCTAAGTCTTGTCGATCACCTCTTGTATCTTTTACTTTACGTGTTTAATTTTTGTGCCAAACTGTTTTTATTTGATAGTAATTTGAACTCATTTTGATTTAAT